CTGCAGGGAAGCATGGCAGCTTGTGTGCAGGCGTGGCGCAGGCCCCGACACCGCACCCAGCCCGGCCTGGCCCGGCTCACCTCCAACCCCTTTTCGACCCAGCGGTGCCTGCGGTGAGCGGACACCCACCTCCTATCCCCACCACTGCCACCCCCCTCGCCCTGCACAGCGTGGAGAGCAGGACCCGCCAGCCTAGGCGGCAAAGCACGGTCCAGCCTGGGGCCGCCCACCTGGCTTGTGCTCCCGCTGCCTCCTGTGCTTGGCTGTGCCGTCCCGTGCCGCAGGGGCTGGCAGCACAGCCGGGTCTGGTACCATGCTGGCATCGGTCTGGTGCTCCAGGCTCCGGTAGCCAGCTGGAGGGCTGCGCTGGCCACGCACGTGGCTGCCAGGGGGTGTCCCAGGGCCAGCCCGTGCATCCTGGTGTGTGGGGGCTCCTGCGCTGTTGCTGCCGGGTGCACCTCCCACAGGCATCACGCCCAAGACAGCCGCCGGCACCGGTCAGGGTGCAGTTCTCAGGGCGGGGACCACTGTGTGCAGGCATGCTGCTGTACAGAGCTGACCAGTGAGGCCCCCGTGGAGCCGGGAGCTGGGCACCCGGAGGGGAGGGGAGGGGAGGGGAGGGGAGGGGGAGGGCAGGACCCCTCCGGCACGTGGCTGTAATTCTCCAAGGGAGAAGGTGCAGTTGCTGAGGCCTGGCTGCCAGGCCGGCTGGCGCTGCCCTTGGGGCGCTTGTCCTCGTGGGTGGTGGCACTGGTGGGATCCGCGAGGTGAAGGCACGGGGGTGCCCTAGGAGCAGGGACCAGCCGGGGGTCTCCTCCGGACTCTGCAGCAGCTCAGCTGGGCCCGTGGCTCCAGGGGCGCTCGGCCCTGACGCCAGGGCTGCAACTGCCCCGGGGACAGCTGGCAGGCAGCAAAGGCTGGGGGTGGGGGCGGGGGTGGGCCAGGGGCTGCAGGACGCGTGAGCCCACAGCGCTCCTGGTGGGGCCCAGAGGCAGCAGGGCTGGATGGGCGCTGCGGGCAGGGCACGACGTTGGCACTCGAGCCGAAGGCATCAGCCAGGCCAGGCTGGGCAGAGGTGACCGAAGGCAGGCGTGCCCAGGCAGGGGCAGGCCCGGGGGGGCCATCCCCGGTGTGAGTTACTCCCGAGCAGGAGAGGAACAGGGCCCTTGGGCGGTGCAGGGCCAGGCCGGGCACTTTGGGCTGCGCTGGCTCGGAGCAAGCCGCGGTGCCGGGGCTGGACGGGCCTCGGGTAGCTTGAGCTGGGCCTGGGCCCGGGCTGCCGAGCAGTGCAGTCGGGCTCGGGCTCGGGCTCGGGCTGCGCACGGCGGTGTAGCAAGCAGGCGGGCTCCTGCGAGCACAGCTCCAGCGCAGGCCCGGCCCGGCCCCAGCACTGCCAGGGGGCCTGGGGGCTGGTCCAGAGCTGGGAGCCGGAGGGCATGGGATGCCGAGGCACGGGCCCCCCCGGCAGGCATGGCTTCACTTGGAAAGCCTCAAGCACCTGCTCCTCGGCCCCCACTCTCCCCAGTCCTGTCCTGTGACCCTATGTCCCGGCGACCCCGGGCACTGGCCATCACCTCCGGTGCACGCACACGTGGCAAGGCCTGCAGACATACGGGCGGTGCTGGGACATGTTCCCAGGCACGTCCTGCCATGCTCCTGACCGCCCGGGTGCCGGTGTGCGCGGGCCGCAGGCAGCCCAGGGGGCCACGGTGCCCGGCGGGCAGTGCAGGGCCAGGCTGCTGTGCTGAGACGTGGCGCGCTCCTGCCTCTGGCGCTGGGGACCGCTGCCCCCTTCCTGGCACAGCCCAGACCCCTGTGCTGGACCCCAGGGCCCGCAGCGGGAGCCCGGAGAGGGGGGCCCTCGCGGCCCCAGCCCCAGCACCCCTCCTCCGCAGGCCGCAGCTGCAAGCCACTGGCTTGCACTTGGCTGGGGCCGGGGTCCAAGAGAGGTTCATGAGCAGACGAGAGGGAGCCTGAGCCTGGTGTTCCCCAGCCCCTTCAGCCCCTGCCTGTGCCTAACCCTCCTCCTCCCGCTGCCTTTTCACCCCATCCCCGCTCCGGTCCCACCTGGATGCCCTGTTCCCTGCCCCGTCTGTCTGCCCATTGCCGGGGTGTCAGTGCCGGGCGCCGGCCACGTGCGGTGCAGGCTGGTTCCTCGTGTCCTCGGGCGGTCAGACACCTGAGCCCCTGCACCCCTGCCTCCCCATCCTGCACACCCCGCTCGCCAGGGCTGGGCCAGCTGCCAGGGCGCCACGGGGTAGGGCCGGGACCCGGGGCAGCATCGCCACGTCCGCTCAGCCCCAGCCACCCCCTCCCGCCACGGCACTGGCAGCACAAGACGGGGAGGAGGCCGTTCCCAGGGCAGGGCAGAGGGAGGAGGCCTGGGGGGCTCAGGCCATGACACTGCCCCCCCTCCACAGCAGGGACAGCGCAGAGCAGAGCTGGCCCCTTGCCCCCGGTCCTGGCAGCTGGCACTGCCCCGGCCATGGCGTGGCGGGTGCCATGTGTAACCCCATCTCCTTGCAGACATCCGGGACAGCGGGGCCAAGCCCGTGATGGTCTACATCCATGGTGGCTCCTACATGGAGGGCACCGGCAACATGATCGACGGCAGTGTCCTGGCCAGCTACGGCAACGTCATCGTCATCACCCTCAACTACCGCGTCGGCGTGCTAGGTACTAGCCGGGCCGGGCAGGGCAGGGCATGCCGCGAGGTCCCAGCCCTGGGCAGGGCTGCCGGGCCAAGGCATCTGGAGTTGCTCCCACTGGGCCTCTGCTTCCTGCTCTGCCCTGGCAGGGACCCGCACTCGGTGGGGCAGGGAGCCTGGGCCTGCCAGGACAGCTGGCATCGGGGCCTAGGGCAAGTGGCTCAGGCTACAGTCCTGCCGGCCTGTGTGTGCCCCTGCAGCCCCGGGCAGGCTCAGCGGTGCCTGCTGCGGTCGGGACCCTCGCAGATGCTGCAGGCCATTGGGCCGTGCACGAGGGCTGGAGGAGGCAGCAGAGCCCTCAGGCTCGTGCCTTGCTGCTGACAGGCTCTGCGTGGCCCCCCAGGGTTCCTGAGCACGGGGGACCAGGCCGCCAAGGGCAACTACGGGCTGCTGGACCAGATCCAGGCGCTGCGCTGGGTCAGTGAGAACATCGCCTTCTTCGGGGGGGACCCCCTGCGCATCACTGTCTTCGGCTCCGGCATTGGCGCCTCCTGCGTCAGCCTGCTCACCCTGTCCCACCACTCTGAAGGTAGGTGCCCTCTGCTCCACTGGGCACGGAGTGGGAGGGACAGATGAGGGCCCCCCTGGGCTGGTGGGCAGGGGCAGAGCCACAACATGGCTCTGTCCTGCCCCGGGCAGTGCTCTGCCGGCCATGCTGCATGCAGAGAGCACATGATGCTGCTGGGGAGTGCAGACTGGCAGAAGGAGTCGGTTGTGTCCAGCGGTGCATGGCGTGTACCGCCGCATGCCATCCTGCAGAGACCGGGCCAGGTTCTGTGTCCAGTCTGATACCCGGTCCGGGAGTGATGATCTCGGCAGTACAGAGGCGATGGCCGGGTTGGCTCGGCAGGGCAGGGCCAGGCTCCCAAGAGCAGGCTGCGCCATGCGATGAGCTGTGCGGGACAGGGTGTCTGCTGGCAGCAACACGGGGGAGGGAGGGCAGGGTCAGCCCAAGGGCCAGTGGCACAAGCTGGGGCCGGAGCCAGCTGGCAGCTGCCAGGGGTCAGAGCAGCAGCGTGCTGAGCCGGACTCTGGGGCAAACCCGTGTGGCGCAGTCTCTGCGCAAGGGCCTGTGCAACGCTAGGGCCCAGCCATTCCCTTTCCCCTGTAGCCCCATATCCAGGCCTGCAGCTCTACACCAGGGCCAAGCGCTTCCTGCAGCTAGCTCGGCCCAAGCTGTCCTGGCCTGTCCCAAGGGTCCTGCAGGACCAGGCTCTGTGAGGGTATTGGCTCTCCTGGGATGGGCTGTGCAGATGTGGCGCAGCTGGAGGCACCCAGCGCTCGCCCTGGGGTCTCAGGCTGGAGCCCCTTGGAGAAGGGTCTGGGAGTCTTGGGAGATCGCAGATTTGATAGGAGTCTGCAGTGTGATGCAGCCACACAAGGCAGCTTTGGGAGATATCGGCAGTTGCATCAGGTGCAGGACACGGGAGGTGGTCATCGTGCCTCTCTGCTCGGCACTGGTTAGGCCTCATCTGGACACTGCGTGCAGTTCTGGGCTCTACATTTTAAAAAGGACGTGGAGAAGTTGGAGAGAGTCCAGAGGCAGCAACAAAGATGATCCAGGGCTTGGAAAGCAAGTCATAGAGGAGAGGCTGAAGGAGCTGGGCATGTTCAGCTTGTGGAGAAGGCACTTAAGAGGGTTCATGACAGCAGTCTTCAAGTACTTGAAGGGCTGCCATAAAAGAAAAGAGGGAAAGCACCTTTTCTGTCTTGCTGCAGAGAGGAGGATGCAGATCAGGGGCTTGAAGTTGCAACGAAGGCGGGTTAGATTGGAGATCAGGAGAAACTTCACTGCAGGGATAGCCAGGCGGTGGAGTAGACGCCAGGGAAGCAGTGGACTCTTGATCGTGGAGGTGTTGCGAGGCACTTGGACAGCCACTGGTCAGGGTGATCCAGGCGTCGGGATGCCTATGTCCTACCATGGGGATTCCCCCGGCTGTTGGGCTTTGCTGGCTGCACATGGGGCTGGGAGACGATCCTTTCCCCTCCTGTTGCTCCAGGTGTCAAGGTTTTTTTGAATCTCGCCCAGAGGCGCTGGTGCTGCTGCAGCCCAAGCTGAGGATGGGGCTGGGCTGTGCCAGTGCTGCTGCTGGCACCAACGCCACAGGGTCCTGGCTAGAGGGTCTTGCCCCTGTGTTCAGGGTCAGACCAATGCCAGATTTGGGGTCAGGAAGGAACTTTACCCCCTGATCAGACAGGGTGAGGGGGGGGATTTGCCTTCCTCGGTAGCGGGGCATGGCCTTTTTGTGGGATCACTCGAGTGTCTATTAACAACCTTTCACAGCAGCAGGATGCTGGCCGCCGTGGTCCCCTGCTTTCCCCATGGCAGGTGTGGGCATGATGTCTGGTGCTGCATCAGGGCTGACCGTGTAATGTTGCTAGTTGTTGGACGCAGAGTTTGCACTCGGCTGATCCTGCCTCATGCAGGGGTTGGCCCCTGGAGGTCCCTGCCACCCCCATGGCTCCAGGATTCCCCGTGAGCGGCAGACTGCTCCTGTCCTCTCGGGAGAGATCCCCAGGGCTGGCTGACATGGGGATGTGCCACTCCGGTCTGGCCCATCTTTGCCGGGCATTTCTGGGGTCCCCCAGTGCTGGCTGGTGGGGGGCATGCTCCCCTCAAGCAGTCATAGGCAGGGCACGTGCAGGGCGGGAGTTGCACAGGTTGGCTGTTTCCACACACGTGTGCAAATGCAGTGTGGGCCAGGGGCAGGGCTGTGTCGAGCGGCACTGCCTCCATGCTGGCGTATGAGACCTGCACCCTGGGCACGTAGCATGAGGGCTGTGCACAGGTAGTGGGGGGAGCCCAGTGAGGAGGAAGGCATCTCTGTGCCCCAGGAGCCATGTGCACAGTGTGCGGGCAGCCTGCCTGGGGCTGGTGAGCACGCGGCCTCCCCGGCGTGGAGGATCCTGGGGCCAGGTCGGTGCCTGGGGGCTGCGCTGGGCCCCTGGAGGGCAACTCTGGCTGCAGAGCCCTGCTGCAGGCTGCCTCCAGCCAGGCACTGACACCCGCCCGGGACACTGCTCCCGCCCCTGCTTCCCAGAGCTTGCATGTGCCCAGTGCACTCACAGCTGCAGCAGGGGAGGGTGTGCCGCGCACTGGAGGAGCATGGCAGGGCCTGCGCCATCTGCATGCCATGCTTTCATCTGTCACCGCCAAGCTCTTTCCCAAGACACCCACGATGTGTCTGCTCTTTCCAGCTGCCCTGGGCAGAAGCAGCCCTGCAGAGCCCAAGGGCTGGGCAGTGGCGGGGCAGCGGCTGGGGCTCACGGACCTCCAGGGCAGGGGGTGCCGTGACTGGCCAGGCCTCAAACACATGGATGTGACCGGGTAGAGGCCTGCTCCCAGGCACTGCCACGGCCAGCCTGGCTGGCCTCGAGGCCGGCTGCAGAGAAGGTGGATTCCCTGCTGCCGGGGCCAGGCAAAGGCAGAGGGCCGTAGGCTGCCCACCAGCGGTGCCCGTGCTGGGCAGGTGGGGCTGGACCTGGCGCCCTGGGGGCCCCCTGGATGGCTCCAGGAGCAGCACGGCGCCGAGCACAGCAGTAGTGAGGTGCAGCCGCGTGGGACGTGCTCTGCCTGCTCGCGACCTCGCGTGGGCCGGGCGGCGAGGAGGCTGCGCGCAGGCATGGGCCCAGCCGGCGCGCGGAGCCCCGGCGCTCCCCGCCGGCCCCGTCCCGTCCCGTCCCGTCCATCCCCAGCACTGTTTCCGGAGCCCTTTGTATTCTGCACAAGCCCCATTGAGGCGGAGCTGGAGCCTGGCCACGCATTCCTGTGCCCGGGCCAGGGCCTTTGTGGCCCGGCTCTGCAGGGCGCGCGCCCGCCCCCCCGCGCTCCCGCGCAGAAAGGCCCCTTTGTGCCCCGGCTGGCGTGTTCCTGCCAGGCGGCCTTGGCACGGAGCGGGCCCAGCTGGGCAGGAAGCACGGGCAGCCAGGGGAAGCCCTCACAAAGCACCTCAGTGGGATGCGCAGGGTTAAGCGGCTCTGGCAGCATTAACCCTCAGGCTGCCAGTCTGCTGCTCACCCAGGGGCCACCCCCACCCCCGCCACCAGGATCCTGAGGCCTCCTGGACATAGGCCCAGCGTGGGCAGAGCTGCTCCCTGCCTGGCGCCGGTGCCTGCTTGCCCAGGGCACACAACTTGGGGGCAGCGGTGGGTTCGGGTGGCCCAAGCAATGGGCCCATTGCCCCCCTGCACCCTGGGGTGCCCACGCTTCCTTGGCCCATGGCTCCGATGCCATCTAGACCTGGATGTGTGGCCCCGTGCAGCCTGGCTCCAGCTGCGCACCAGCAGCCCCCAGAAAGCACGCGCTTCCTGCTGCCCCCCCAGCTGCCCCCCGCCCCGTGACCTGTGCACACTGTGCTGGGCTCCGGTGCTGGGAGAAGGGTCCCCCCAGCTTGCCTTACTGGGCCCAGCCAAGGGTGCCAGTGAAAGAGGCGGGCAGTGCCCCATCCCTGCTCCAGGGGCATTTTCTGAGGCCCAGCTCTTGCTCCCAAGCTCTCGGGGGATGCCCCTCCATGTATGTGGGGCTCTGACCAGCTGCATGGACTGGGGAGCTGGCTAGAGCCGGCCATGCTGTGCCAGGCCCTGGCCATGCTCTGGCTCTCACCCTGTGGGCTGCTTTGTGTCTCGCTGCAGGGCTGTTCCAGAGGGCCATCATCCAAAGCGGCTCGGCACTCTCCAGCTGGGCTGTGAACTACCAGCCAGTGAAGTACACGAGCATGCTGGCAGACAAGGTGGGCTGCAATGTGCTGGACACAGTGGACATGGTGGACTGTCTGCGCCAGAAGAGTGCCAAGGAGCTGGTGGAGCAGGACATCCAGCCGGCACGCTACCATGTGGCCTTCGGCCCCGTCATCGATGGCGACGTGATCCCTGATGACCCCGAGATCCTGATGGAGCAGGGCGAGTTCCTCAACTACGACATCATGCTGGGCGTGAACCAGGGAGAGGGGCTGAAGTTTGTGGAGGGGGTGGTGGACCCCGAGGATGGTGTCTCAGGCAGCGACTTTGACTACTCTGTCTCTAACTTTGTGGACAACCTGTATGGGTACCCTGAAGGCAAGGACACATTGCGGGAGACCATCAAGTTCATGTACACGGACTGGGCTGACCGCGACAACCCTGAGACACGCCGCAAGACCCTGGTGGCCCTCTTCACCGACCACCAGTGGGTGGAGCCCTCGGTGGTGACAGCCGACCTGCATGCCCGCTACGGCTCCCCCACCTACTTCTATGCCTTCTATCACCACTGCCAGAGCCTCATGAAGCCTGCCTGGTCCGACGCAGCGCACGGCGACGAGGTGCCTTATGTCTTCGGCATCCCCATGATCGGCCCCACTGACCTCTTCCCCTGCAACTTCTCCAAGAACGACATCATGCTCAGTGCTGTCGTTATGACCTACTGGACCAACTTTGCCAAGACGGGGTGAGCAGTGTTTGGTCTCCGTGCCAGGCGTGGGCAGGTGTTTGCGGGCTCCATGCTGGGTGTGGGCAGGCACATGTGGGCTCCATGCTGGGGCGTGTGCAAAGCATGTGTGGGCATCTGCAGGCTCCTTGCTGAGATGTATGTGCATGTATGCAGGAAGGACGCTGGGGCATGTGTGCGCTCCAAGCCAGGGTCCTTGGGTGTGTGCAGACTCTGCACTGGGACGTGTGGGTGTGTGCAGGGTCCACGCCTGCGTGTGCAGGTGTGGCCTGGGTGTGCAGGTGTGGGTGGGCTCATGCAGGGACATGTGGGTGCATGTGGCACCAGGGCATGTATGGGCTCTGTGCCAAGTCATGTGGGTGTGTGTGGCACCAGGGCACATGGCCCTGCGCTGGGGCTTGTGGGAGCAACCCCGAGGCACTCAGCCAATCTGTGTCCATGTGTGTCCCCTCAAGCTGACATGCATGTGTGCGTGTGCTGCCCTGAGCCCATCTGTGTGTGCACACTCACCTCCCTGATCCCAGCCACCAGGTTACATGACCCCACTTGGCCTGGCCTGGCCTCCCCTCATCGCCCATGTGAGCCAGGCTCCTCCCTGGGCCCAGCACGTGGGTCCTGCCTGCCTGCATCCTGCCGAGCACTATGGAGGCTCTGGCACGCTCAGGCAAGTGGGGTTGATACCATGCGTAGCTTAGCCTTGCTTCTGGGCAGCCCAAGCCCTGCCCCACGGCTCTCGGTGGTGGGCAGGTTCCTGTCAGCCCCGGCTGCTGCTTGCCCTGGCCAGGCGCTGCCTGCGTGAGTTGAGTGGGCATCTCTGCCCCGGGCATGTGCCCCACGGCCCCCGCTCAGGGCACAGCCCTGTCCCCGCTGCAGCTTCTCCTGCTCACCTGTGCTGCCCCGTGCCTCACAGGTGCTGCCATCCCACGGCCCCTCCAGCCTGGGCAGCTCTCTGAGCCCGTCATGAAGCCCCCACGGCTTCCTTGTGCCTCTGCTGCGATGCTGCAGGACACCTGCTACAGCTCCACTGCCAGCACAGACCCCATTGCCACTCAGCATCCCTGTGCTCCCTCCTCCCTCCATCCGTCTGCCCATCAGTCGGTCTGTCTGTGTCCAGCTGTTGCCTCCTGTCTGCTTAGGCTGAGAGCGCCAGACCCCTGGCTGCCTCCCAGCTGTCCAGTGCCAGCCGGAGCAGGGCTGCTGTGCTCGGGGGTCCCTGGACTCAGTAACAGCATAGATGGCATTGGCAGGGTGGGTCACGGGCACCGGCAAGGGCAACGTGTCATCACGTGCCCCCTCCCCGCTAACCCTGTCCCGCCCTGTGTGCACAGGGACCCCAACAAGCCAGTGCCCCAGGACACCAAGTTCATCCACACCAAGGCCAACCGCTTCGAGGAGGTGGCCTGGTCCAAGTACAACCCTCGAGACCAGCTGTACCTGCACATCGGGCTGAAGCCACGGGTGCGCGACCACTACCGCGCCACCAAGGTGGCCTTCTGGAAGCACCTGGTGCCGCACCTATACAATCTGCACGACATGTTCCACTACACGTCCACCACCACCAAGGTGCCGCCACCTGACGCCACGCAGAACGCCCACATCACCCGCCGGCCCAACGGCAAGGCCTGGACCACCAAGCGCCCTGCCCTGTCCCCCGCCTACAACAGCGAGGACGGCAAGGAGCCGTGGAGCCCGGAGCAGGAGGCCGGGACCCTCCTGATTGAGAACCCACGCGACTACTCCACCGAGCTGAGTGTCACCATCGCCGTGGGCGCCTCCCTCCTCTTCCTCAACGTCCTGGCCTTCGCTGCCCTCTACTACCGCAAGGACAAGCGCCGGCAGGACACACACCGCCAGCCCAGCCCCCAGCGCAGCGCTGCCAACGACATGGCCCACACACCCGAGGAGGAGATCCCCTCCCTGCAGGCCAGCCAGGCACACCGTGAGTGCGAGCCAGTGCCTGTGCCAGCCCACGATGCCCTGCGCCTGGCTGCGCTGCCTGACTACACGCTGACCCTGCGCCGCTCGCCAGATGACATCCCGCTTATGACACCCAACACCATCACCATGATCCCCAACTCCCTGGTGGGGCTGCAGACCCTGCACCCCTACAACACCTTCGCCACTGGCTTCAACAGCACCGGGCTCCCCCACTCACACTCCACCACCAGGGTATAGCTCCCCAGCCGCCCGCCCGCCCGCCTGCCCGCGCACGCACACACATGCACGCACACGCACGCTCGCTCACAGCGGACGCTGGGGCCGGGGTGGGGGCCGGGCACTCCGACAGCGCACGGACAGGCTTGTCCAGCCCAGAGGGCAGAGCAGAGCCCCAGCTGGCGCACTGCGGACAGCATGGGGGGGATGACTGGTGCCACCCCCAGCTCCTTCCTCCATTTGTTTTTTATTTCTCCAAGTGCTTTGACTCTCCTGCGCTGATGCCGGGGTTGTGGGGCCCAGCCAGAGCCGCACAGCAGGACTGACCCCAGGGCAGGGGCACGGCCCTTATGCCCTGCTCCCTGCTAGCAAGCCCTGGCCATGCCAGCAGCAAGACGGATGGATGCACGTGAGAGGCTGCAGAACCTCTGCCTTGGCCCGCGGTCCGTTGGCCTCCAGGGGCTGGGCCTCATGCCAAGCAGCAGCCCTGCCTGGCACATGGGGCTGCCCAGCACCCCTGGTCACCTCTTGCCACGGGAGCCCGGGGCGCCAGAAACTCGCCATCATCCAAAGTGCCGTGGAACATGTGCCCGCACTTTGCCGAGCCGCAGCGGCCGGGCAGGAGCTAGGGGGGCCGTGCCCGCCCCGGGCTGGCCCCTGCCCGCTGTGTGCTGCAGAGAACCTCTTTCGTGCGGGTGTTTCTCTTTGCAGAGACGTTTTTTAAGCAGATCTTTAGTTCTTTACACACTAACGGAGTCGCCGCGTTTTGTCCTTTGTAAAGATTTTAAACCAAGTGTTCTTGATATAAAATAAAAAAGCCAGTTAGAATCCCAGCGTGTGTGGCCCCGGCATCCCCGAGCCTGGCAGCACATGCCCCCAGGCCCTGCCTGACCTTTTGTATTTTTTATATTCTCCCTCTTCTCTCATGCCGCGTACACCAGCTGGGCACTACGTGCCATACAGCCCGTCCGTGACTGCCCCCACCCAACTGCCTTCCTGCCCCCACTCCCCAGGGCCACGCGCTCGCTGGTCCTACCTTTGCTCCTTGCCCTTCCAGTGAGTGCCGCCCTGCTGCGCTGACACTGCTCAGCTGAGCCCCTGCGTGCCACCCTCGGGCCCCAGCCCTGCTCCCTGCTGCCCAGGTCCATGCCCCCCTGCCTGCTCTGCCCTGTGCCGTCCACGCCCCCCGCCTCCCTGGGGTCTTGCAGGCAGCCACCTCGGGGGTGGACGCGTGAGCAAACCCAGGGGCCCAAGCAGCCGACTTTGGAGCAGTGCCAGGGCAGCATGCAAGGGGCCAGGGGGAGGCAGCGTGTCCAGGTTGGTCTCGGCTGGTCCCTTCTGGGCCTCTGCCCTTGGCGAGCAGGCCCTGTGCTTGGGGGCCTCTGGCCAGAGCCCAGTCCCAGGGCAGCAGGGCTGGGGGCAGTGGTTGGAGCTAGCCTGCAGCATGGCAGGAAAGGGTGGTCAGGGCTGCGGGGAGCAGGGTCTGCAGCTCAGGAGTGAGGGGCACTGCAGGGTGGGGGCTGGCGCTGGCTGAGATGGGGAGGGCTGTGGTTCAGGGGCAGTGGGGATGGGGAGCCCAGGGCAGGGGTGCGGCCCGAGGCCCTGGAGCAGAGCTACAGGGCTGTGGGGGCAGGGGCAGTCGTGCCGCGCGGCCTCCTCTGGTGCAGGATCGGGCTTCCAGGGTCTCCGCAGCGGTATCACAGGGTCACCGCGCTGGTGGCCGGCAGGGGCAGGAGGGGCCTGATCCTGAGCCCCGGGGCTATAAGCCTGGCTGGAGCAAGGCTGCTCCCCTCCACCGCAGGGCAGCCACGTGCCCAGCACCTGCCCCCAGCTGGGGTAGGCGAGCCCCAAGCCAGGGTAAGGCTGGGGGGGTGTTGCTCCCCCGCCCCAGGGCCGGGACTGGGCGGTGCAGATGGCAGAATGTATTTGTACCCGTCACCCCAGCGAGTAACCTGCTCCAATAAAACTGATATTTTTATGTGTGGTCTCCTGTGAGATGCCTGGCACTGGGGCAGGGGAGGATGCCTGGGTCTGGGGGAAAGGGCTGCACTCCCGAGTCCTCGGGGGCTGCGACCCTCAAGCAGGCGCCCGCCTGTGGGAACACCCAGCCGGGGACCGTGCAGTGGGTGTCTCACTACATGCGGTGCCAGGGGCAGCCAAGGGCACCTATTCTGTAAGCAGGGCTTCCCAGCTGCGAGCTCCCACCCAGCAGTGCCCTGCCTGTGCCAGCCAGCCTGTTGCTTCCTCAGGTCCCACACGCGCGAGTTGGTGCTGCCCAAAGAGCCTGGCAACCGTGCCCCCCGCAGGGCACCTGTCCCTGTGGTGCTGTCAGAGGGGCAGTGCCCCGGGCCCAGCTCTGCACCCTGGTGCAGGGCCTACGCCGCTGGCAGCACCAGGCCAGGCCTCTGCAGCCTCCCTGGGACCAGTCCCCCCCCCCCCCCAAAAAAAAACACCCCCAACGCGGGGGGGGGCCCCCCCCCCCCCCCCCCCCCCCGCATGGGTGCCCTCTGCTTAGGCGCGGTAGCAAGCGAGCGCGGGTCTGACGTCGCCCCGTAGAGCGCTTTGTTTTGCCGCGACAACTGGCCGCAGACAGACGCGCCGGGGTGGGTAGGTCGGTAGGTAGCTCCGCGCAGGTCCCGCAGGCAAGCTGGGAGGGGGACAGGCGCGCGCGCTGGGCGGCCCTGACCCCGGGGCCGCTGAAGTCAGCGGGAGTTTCGCCGCCGCCTTCTGCGGGCGCGGGCGCCAACTTCGCAAGTTTCATCAATTCTTGCATTGTTCGCCGAGGAAATTGGGGCAGCGGCCCCTTCTGGCCCGCGGGGCAAACAGCAAGAGAGAGCCGAGCCGGCTTTTCTCCACCGCCACCCCCACCCGGGGATAAAAGCTGCTAAGCCGGAGCTGGGGCGCGTGCATGTTGTTATTATTAATATCATCGTATGCACACGCACTCCACTCGCAGCACACGCCTGCGCTCGCTGGGTGCCACCGAGGCGCTTGCCTTTCCGAGGGACC